GAGCCTCCCTCCCGGGCAGGTGGCCCGCGTCCCGGGGCCTGAGAGCGGTGGAAGGCGCAGCGCCGTCCTTGGGCTCCAGCCTCCTCTGTCGCGAGTGCCAGTGGTGCAGGCAGAGAACCCACTTCCTGCCGCTCCCGAGGGCTCAGCTGTCCGGGACCAGCCTGCCACAGCACAGGTGGCCTTCCCTGTCGCGGCCCATGCACGTCGCCAGCTTGGGAAGCCAGACAGGTGCCTGGTCCCAATGGCAACCTGCCACCAACAATCCTCCTGCCTTCAAAGTCTACATTTATGTGTCCATAAAATGCAGCAACTAACAGCAAACGCTTGTTACTCGGGACCCAGTGGAGGTGCCGGGACACCGGGAGAGGGGGTGGTGGGTTTCTGGGGAAGCCGGGCTGCACGGGAGGCTGACGGACCATGCTTTGCTCGAGGGCTTGGGCATGAGCCTGTGCTGGTCTCTAGCTCTGCCTGGATGGTCAAGGACACTACCAGGACCGCTAAGATGAGCTATCGGGACAGGTCCCGCCGAGCAAACGCTTGAGCAGAACCCACCAGCCTACACATCTCAAAAAGCTTCTCCCTGCGTCGCAGAAATCCTTGGTTTGAAGGTCTATGGAAGACACATTCCCTTAACGTGAATGCTGTGGAAAAGTATAAGAGGATGCAAACGATATATTACACAAAGGACCTCAGTTTCCGGGTTTATTCTTTGTTTTCCATCCGAAACTTCTAACCTTAGAAATTAATTCACTGCGGCTGTTTTATTTCTATGTAATGAAAAAAAAAATACACGCCTGGTTTAACAGGACCATAAGCTGACGGGCAGAAGTAGCTGCTCTGACTTATTTTACTACTTTCTGCTTCATTTGTGTCCAGAGAAACTGAGATAAAAGAGGACTCGTGGAGTTGGCCTCCCCCAGTACCGCAGGCGGCCACACGGGGCGCCGTCCCGACTCCAGCCACACACACAGCCAGCGCCGCAGACAGACCCTGCACCAGTGGAAACAGCGGGGGGGGTCTCCCCCAGATTTGAGGGGGCTCTTGGGGTGCAGAGCTAGGAATGTAGGGGGTGCAGCACCCCACACACCTGCCAGTTCACCTGAAGCTTCCAAGGCCACCACTTCATGCCATGGCCACGGACGCTGCAGAGCAGGGAGCTCAGGAGAAACGAGACTCCCCTGCCACATGGAGCAGCCCTGTGATGGGAGCAAGGCGCCATGAAGAGACAAACCGCGGAGCAGACAGGAGCCCCCAGACCCAAACATGGAGAGGCAGCCAGCATATGCCAGGGAGGAGGTGCTAGCCACCGTGGGGATGGGCAGCAGAGGCTTAGCGAATGCTGGTTAAGGGGCCTCTGAGAGACGCGGGTCAAGAACCAACACAGACGGCTCAACAGGACAGGAGTTCGGAACCAAGGGCCAACCTGCTAGGTCTCCAAGCCCACGGCCACTGGGCCCGGCCTCTCTGGGCGTGCTAGGATTCCCCGACCCTCCCCCACCCACCATGGCATCTGCTCCCTGCTGGGGGGAGCGGGACTTCAGCCAGACAGAGCCTGACACGCTCGCCCGGGCCCACGGAGGCCCCGTCGGCCACAGGCCTGTGCAAGCACACGAGTGAGCGAGGTTCCATCTGGTGGACAGAACAAAACTGGTCTACGCAGGGCGGACGGTGAAGGGGGCCCTTCCATCGGGGAAGCAGAGCGCTCCTCCTAAACTGTCACCCCCTCCTGCAGGTGCTTCTCCCGTGGTCCTAGAGCACTCCCACACCCCTGCTCACCCCCCGCTTCGCGACAGCCTCGGATGGGGGGGCACGGCTTCGGCTTCCCCGGAAGACTGAGAGATGGCAGAAGGCGCGGTCCCCTTCACACGGGAAGTTTCCACCCGTGTCTCCTCCGGGATAAGGAACAGCTGCTCAGAAGCCAGTTGAATAGAGGGAGGTGACAGACGTGAGCTGGTGTGTCCTAGCGTGCCACGGTGTGCACGTGGCCGCGGAAAACCGCGTGGCACGGCGTCCGCTCACCTGTCCTGCAGTTGTGGAATTCCAGGGCGCTCTCGATGCGGAAAGTCTTCTCACAAGTGCCGCACCGGTACCTGTACTCGCCGTCCACCTGGCAACGGGGCCCCGTTAGTGCGGGAGGGGCGGGGGTGCGCCACCCCAGCGCGCGCCCCCTGACCAGCGCTCCGGCATCTTCCAGGAGCGGGCGGTCTACACCGCTGTCTGCTCCTCCCCCACACGGTTCAGGAACATGAGCCCATTTCCACTCTTGCCGTCCAGGTGCCCCGGAAGAATGGCCCACTCCGGGGCCGCAGGGCAAACGCCAGGCCAGGGGACCCTGCAGCCTCACCCGCAGCCCGTCGCCTGCCCCTGCACCCACGCCCTCCCCTCCCCTCCTCCTCCCTCGCGACTGCACCTTCCCCCGCCCCCGGCAGCCGCCCGCCCGCCCGCTCTGCCCGCTCTGCCCGCACACCGGCCCCACGCCAGCCCGCCAAGCCGGGTCCCACCCACCTCGTTCCTGCTGTGCTTGTAGGACACGTGCTGCTTCAGACTCTCCTTGCGGCTGAACAACTTGGCACATTCCTCACATTTAAATAGCTTGTCGCCTACGAGCCAACCGATAAGCAGCCGGTCCACGACTCCGGGCGTGGACCGGGGCTGCGCATGCTGCCTCGGAAGCAGGTCCACGGCCGGTGTGTGTGCGAGGCCCTCGGCAACCTCTCCCCCACCCCGACCGCCGGGGCAGCCTCCCCCCGCCCCAGGACCGCTGGCGGGGGGCCCCAGGCAGCGGTGCTCCCCGGTCCCGTCCCCGTGGTGGGCGGCTGTGCAGGGACTCACCGTGCGAGCGCACATGCCTGCTCAGGTTGCTGCTGTTCTGGAAGATCTTGCTGCAGATACCGCACTGATAGACCCGTCTGTGCTCCCCCAGCTGTCTGACGAGCTTCCTCCGGACGCCGTGCCGGCTCGACAGAATTAGGCTCCTCTTGAGGGCAATGGTGGTGCTCTGATGATGCGGGAACCTGCCAGGTCAGACAGAATGGTGAGACGGGGTGGGGGCAGGGCAGACCGCAGCACTGGAGAAAAAGTCTAAGGTCATAATCATCTTGGAATGAGCTCCTTCCAAACCTTCCTAGCACCATGCGAGACAGCAGGGAAGGCACTCGGGCCTCGGCCCCGCCTCCGGGGCATCTGGACGGCACAGACACCATGAACGTACAATGGCATCCGTGTTTTCCGTGTGGCTACACGGCTGACTGCATCTTCACTCTGGCCGCCAGGAAGCTCGCAGCTCAGTCTGTGCAGAAAATAACCCTGGCTGTGCAGTTTTTCTTGCGTGGCCTGGCCTCTACTCTGCTTTATACTTTCTCTGACCCTGACTCTTGAAATTTCTTCTCCCTATGAAAGGTATTTCCGATGGTAAGCCACAGAAATCTTCTGGGCAAGAAGACAGGGTAGCAGAGAACCAAGTGACCCTGTTTGTGATGACATGTTGGTCCTTGTTGTCAGTATCTGCACGGGTTCCAGGAACAACAGGACCAGGCACATTGCGAGAAATATAAGAGGCACTCCAAAAAAGGCCCCCCAAATTACCACCAGCTTATTCAGTGTCAGAGCAAAGACGTACCCAAAAATGATCACTGAAATACAAAATATCTTCCGTGTTCGCAAAAAAGAAAAGAAAATCACAAAGCAAGGTGTTAAAGTCACAGAAATTCAAATACAACACTTTTATAATGGCAGCATTGCTCATAATAGCCAACAGGTGGAAGCAGCCCAAGTGTCCACTGATGTAGGAATGGGTAACAAAATAGGGTCTATGTATATCCATATGATGGAACAACGTCCGGCCTTCACACGGTGGCGGGGGGGGACAGTCAATCTGACAGCTGAGTGAGACAGCCAGTCACAAAAGGACAAACACCATGCGGCTGCACTCATACGAGGACCCTAGAGACACAGCGACCGCCTACGAGGTACCTCCATCTTCACAGAGACAGAGGTAGAACGGGGGTGTTGGAGAAGTTAGCGTTTAAGGAGAACAGAGTTTCAGTTTGGGAAGGTGAAAATGCTCCACAGATGGACTGGGGTGAAGGTCGTGCAATGACTTAATGCCGCAGGACTGGGCACTTAAAAGCGGTTAAGATGGTAAATTTTAGGTGATGTAGGTGTCACTAAAATTAAAAAAAAAATTTGTTTTTAACCATTTTCACAGACAATGTACGACTGGTCCTGAGTTCCGGAGCAATCCTGCTGCTCCCCAAGCTCACCCATGTCCCTGCACCCGGAGTGAGCCAGCCTCTCTGATGGAGGTGCCTTCCTGCCCTGATGGAGTGCTGACCGCACCGGCGCCCCGAGGGCCGCGACAGGGACTCACTTTGGCACTGAACTGGCGTCACCGGTGCTGGTGGTCAGCTTCCCCAGAACCAGCTCCATGATGCGCTCGTCCGGTGCTGCGGCCACGGGCTCATCCGGCGGGACCTCGGTAATGATCTCTGCCACTGGCTCTGTGTGAAGGGGACGGGACGGGCCATGTCAGCCCCATTGCCAGGGCAGGGGACAGATCACAACCCACCCAGGAGGACATGCCCAAGAGGACGAGGACAAAGTTGTAGGCACGGGTCACAAGATACGGGAAGAAAGAAGAAAGAAAAACTAGCGATATTTTGGAATCCACACGTTAACCTGTTTAGAAAAGCAAAAAGTTATTCCTAACTCCATGCTGAAGTTATAATTTGTGATTCTTTTCTAAAACCACAGCAGTTAAAACACTATTTCAGTCCCTTTTCCTACTAACTAAAATCGAAACATTTTGATACACAGTGGGACCTTTTCACTTATTAAATTAGTCCTGACAGGGATTTACAAATATTAACTTTTAAAATCAGACAAGCCACCGTGAGTATGTTCAAAAGCAGATAACCATTTTGTATGAGAGTCAGGTAGCAAATAATTGCAGTAACAGGTGTCCTGGCCTGAACCCCTGGACAAATGAAATATGGGACAATAACACAAAAATTTTAGCCCCTGGTTTCTACCACTTCATCTGCTCTATGTCGTCCTATGCAACTAATAACTAGGGAAATAAGCACTTAATCTTTCGGCGCCCCTCACATCTTCTCTACCTGTGTAGAGAGAAGTAGGGGCGCTGCTCAGGGGAGGCAAGGTTTAAATCACTTGTCCGTCTATCAGTTCTGAGCAGAACACGAACTTGGAGCTGGCTGTAGGAGCCAGAAAGGCCCAGAGTATTACATGAATGCTGCTCCTCTGAATACTTTTTCACTCAGGGAAAGAATAAGCATTTCTTCTCACTCTCAGAAAAGGAAACAAGGGCTCTACCAGACAGCCGAGCGCCCAGTGGCCAGTATGAAGACAGTGAGGGGACCCAGGCCTCAGTGTCCCATCTGGTCCCGATACGTGAGACCCCCCCGGAAGTCTGCTGGTACCAGGCGCTGCCGGCAGAGGTCACGGGAGGACCGAGGGGCCACGGGCCCTGCACACCCAAGAAAGTGGGTCAGAGTCCCTCCAAACTCAATGGAGGAAACCATCACAGAGAATGGGCCCGGCCACGGCCCGGAAGCAAGCTACAAGCCCGTGCACAGGTGCTGTGGGAGTGGACGGTGGTCATTCACATGGGGAACAATGCCGCTTGGCAGCCAAGGACAATGAGCAGCCAAAAACCCAGCGTGGGAGAGTCTCGCTCCGTGTGCCACGAGCAAGACGCTGGGCACGGAAAGAGGGATGCATGTGAAACGCCAGGAGGGGCAAGACTGATTCATGCAAAGCCAAGGAGGAAAGTCTGGGGAGATGGCCATGTTCTCTGTCCTGACAGGGTGCTGGTGACCCAGGTGGAACCCTGGTCAGTATTCACAACCTGCACGCTTTGCAGCACCCACTGTGTTACACGGGAATTGTGCTCTGAAGAGCTGAGTCAGGGCGAAAGGGAAGGCTAGGTCCCACCTCCACCTGTTCTCTCTACACTGAGTTTTCCCACTGATAAGGCCCCCAGCCCAAGATACCCTCACCTGCTGGCTCCTCCCCCAGGACCAGCCCCCACCTGCTGGCTCCTCCCCCAGGACCAGCCCCCACCTGCTGGCTCCTCCCTAGGACCAGCCCCCACCTGCTGGCTCCTCCCCCAGGACCAGCCCCCACCTGCTGGCTCCTCCCCCAGGACCAGCCCTCACCTGCTGGCTCCTTGCCTTCTATGATGTCTAGTGGCTGCTCAGGTTTTGATGCTTTGGGTTTTCTCCCCCTTCGAGGCTTTTTCTTCTGCTCTTTGGTGGCACTGACACTCTTGGGAACTGCAGGAGGCTCCCCCCGGGGCACATCTGGTTCCTTCTCAGGAGCTGCTTCATGCTGGCTGGCTGGGGGAAGGCTTTTGGCTTGTTCCAAGTGACCCAACAGATGCTCTGCAGAAGAGGGAAGAAAATGCACAACGACATGAGGCAGCCTGTCAGTACGCCCACCTCCTACCACCACTTTTGTTTGCTTTTACCTTCATTTGCTGAGAGTGTGCCCTTTCATAGGCAAATAAACTTTATTTTCACTGCTTTTGAAAATAAAAGCGTTTTCACCGCGCCAAACAGGACTACTATTTTAAAAGCTAAATTAGGTGATGAAACCAGGGCAGGTTCACCATGCGCACAGTTTTATGAAAAGTACAAGCATGCATGCACATGTATGTGCAAGGAAGAAGTGCGGAAGGGTGTTCCAGCACGGTACTGTGGCTCTCTCCAGACGGTGACACTACGGGCAATGTTCCCTTTCTTCTTTATACTTACTCATGTTTTCCAATGTTTATGATAAATTCATACTACAATTACTTAAGAACGTAGCCTCTAAAGAGAAATACTGAGAAATACTCAACTCACGATAAACGATATTATCTTGAAAAACACTGCACAGAAGCAAATAATCTTTGCTTTACTTTCAACTGAAGAAAGCCCTTCAAGACCTCCCAGGGAAAGACAACTACAGAACCCCAGGAATCAGGCAGGCAGGGATGGGTACAGAGTTCAAGAACAGACAAGCTCCCCTCAGTGAAGGCCCAGACCGGCTGGACCACAGCACCATGGCAAGGAGGAGGGAGACAAGCCACGACACAGGTGGGGACCGACACGCAGATGACAGATGGCGCCTGTGTGCACATTAGGGCTGGGGACCGATTCTCCCCAGTGCAAATCTCCACTGGCTTAGCACAGGCCTTCAGCATGAAGGGGCTGTTACTTCTCTGTTCGTTCCGTACTTAGGGTCATCGTGCTGGGTGAGTGCCCTCGAGGAGCTGGGTCCAGGGAGGAAAAGAAAATTAAAAAGCAAACACAACAGAATGTGATGTGTGTCACAGGAAGGGCTTGGAAGTTTGGCCACACAGCAGAACAAGCCAATGATGAGCCCACCTGGCTGAACGCACCTGGAAAGACTGGAGAAAACACAGAGCCTAACCGCCCCCAGCTGCAAGATACCAGAGCCTGAGGGAAAGAGAGAGCCTTGGGGCCAGGCACGCAGTGGGAGCCTTGTTCCAGGCCAAGTGTCCGAGCACGAGCGCGTGCAGCTCTGGGGGACACGGCTGGGGTCCACATAGCGGCCCGGGAGTGAGCTGCTCACACTAGGCCAAGGAACGTCCTGCCGGCCACGTGCGGCCACCTGTCCAAAGGGACGGCGTGGAAGTAACAGCACAACCCGGAGCCGTTCCACCCAGACTTCCCAGTGGCACCCAGCAGCGTGCACACCGGCGCTTACCATTCAGAAGCTGCAGCTCCAGGAAGGTGGCGGAACACACTTTACATACCCACGGGCTGGGCTCAGACTCCACCGCGGCGCTGCTTTCTGGCGTGCCTGCAGCTTCAAAAGAGCAGAGGGAAGGGTGATGCAGAGCAGCGCGTCCCCCGCACCCAGGCCCAGCGCCGCAGGGGGTGCGCCTGTCCGCCCGGGGCCGGCGCTACGTTGGCGGTCCGCACAGCTCCCCTCTCGGCCCTGCTCCCCGGGCTTCACACGCGTGCACCCCTGCGGTCCCCAGGGACGCCCCCATTTCACAGGTGAGGAGACTGAGCACGGGCAGGTGGCGCTGGAGCAGCTCGATGCGGGGTCTGTTGCCAGTTACAGAAACGTGACTCCTCCCGAAGCCGGGCCAGTGGGACCAGATGCATCCCTTTACACGACTTCGAGAAAAAAACCCTTCAGATTAAACTGAATTCCTCAGTCTCTCTCTGGCTCATACGAGAGACCGGCCGTCGGTGTGCCCTGGGCCTGGTGTGGCCGTAGTTCTGGCCCGGTGTTGTCCTGCGGAACTTTCTGCAACGATCGCTCTGAATACGCCTCGCCATCTGAGGTGGCAGCCGTGGTGGGGCTCCTGCCCCTGAGGAACCGAGGTTTTAATTCTGTTTAATTTGCATTAGAATTGAAGAGCGGGCAGGCAGCCGATGTGACGGGCCCTCAGCCCCTCTTCCTCGCACCCAAAGACGCGTGGGCAGGGCTCAGGGAATGGGGGAGAACTGGCTGTGCGGAGGGGAACCGCAGCTCCCTGTCAACAATACCACTCCGTGGGACCTAAAAACTGGGGACGTTCTCAGCGAGCCTCCGGCCGTGATCCCCTGGCCCGGCCCCGTCTCTCCAGGCCCCGTCGGGCGGCCCCACGCACCCTCACCACCACTCCCACTCGGCCACCGCATGACCCATCACACGCAACACTCCGGGGGGCCACCTGTTCAGCAAACTCCTGCGTCCTCAAACAAAAATCACCCAGAATTGCAGCTGCACATGCATTCGGAGCAGGGACAAAGCACCCCTCTTTCTGTATCCAAAACCAGCAACAAGCTTGCAAAGACAGGAAGCAAGAGATGCAGGCCAGAGGCCACTGCTCCAACTGTTGGTGTCCATTTCCTGAGTCCTCCTCAGATAGTAAGGGGAAAACATGTGATGTGAAATGGTCAGTTATACGAACACAGGCAGAGCAGGAGGGGTCCGGAGCAGGTGCCGCGGGAGCCCCGCGGTCTAGGGGACGCTCCAGGCCAGCCAGCCCTCTGCTATCCCTCGCCCCCCGCGGACCCACCGCACAAAGACTGTCAGGACGAGATCACGGATGAATGGGAGCCAGAGCCGAATTCCCGCTTCTCACTCACCTTCTCAAACACACGTGGCTCGAAAGAGGGGAGGAGACATTTGCACGTGATGGGTTCAGGAAGGGATGACGAGTGGGTAAGCTGGAAGGACACCTGTGAATCCAGGTCATTTCTTCTGGTCCCCAGGGGCTGCCATCTCCAGTGGGACGGTCCCCACCCCCACACACGGGATTCAAACTAACGTGACATGAGAAGCCCTTCTCTTCAACCTGCGCTGGGGCCAGTCAAAAGGACCAACTAGAAGGACCTGTCGGGACCTCTGTCCCCACCCCCCCATCAAGGGAAGAACTCACTTTTCCAAAAATTATCGCTAAAAGATCAGAATTTTTAAAGAACAAAAATGAGCCAACAATCAGAAGACAGTTCTCGATGGCCCATCACTTAAACGTCCAACAAAAGAGATGCGACAAAGCAACAGAAACACCGCCTGGTCACAAGCAATGCGGCACAGGGAGCGGCAGGAGGGCCGATACCAAAGGTGGGACGGTGAGTTACAAGCACGCCTGGAAACACGCACAGTGAGACCTCGCCTGTGGGAAAACGCGGGGCTCTCCTGGAGACCAGGAGAGACACAGCCCAACCACAAGGACAGAAGGCAGCTTGCTGGGCGCCAGGGGCCTGAGCGCAAAGCTGCACAAGGGAACCGAGAGACCCCTCTGGGCTGGCGACGACGTTCTCTTATCTCAGCTGTGGCGTGGCTGACACGACTGGACGCCTCTGTCGAAACCCCCTGCGCTGTGCACCGAAAACTGCCAAGTCTTCTCATGCGCAAACTATACGTCAGCCGGCTGATTTTTAATAAATACCGCAAACTGCTAGTCAGACATGCCAAGAGTCATTAAAATGGTGATTGAAAATGGTTTTCCACATGTTATAGATGTGTGTACATTTTATCTTTTTCATTAGAAAAGTACTTTTGAAGATGGGATGACAGTATCTGAGGACTGCAGCCGAGCTGCACCCTCGCGCCTGCCCATTTAGACCCATGAGCTTCCTGGGCCCCTCCTTCCTTCACCTGTCAACAGGCCCGGCTGGGCAAAGCAAGGAAACCAACTTTAATGTCAGCCCAAGAAAAAATGTGAAAAATAAATCTCCTACCCAGAAAAAAAATATAGTAGAAGTTATTTTTTTTTTCAAGGACGTGTCTGATCCTCCGACTTTGCTGTGTTGAGAAGTCAGCTCTGCCATCTGCAAATTGGCTGATTTCTACAACTGAGATGTATTTTGAAGCAAATTTGAAAAAGAGGCCGAATGAAATTAATGAGTCTCCGTACTTCTGATGCTCACCTAAAAAGAGTCTGAATGATTTATGGGCAGATAGTTCCTTGTCCACTGGCCCCCAGCACAATTCTTCTAGAACGTGGCGGTGGTCCCTAAGGCCCATTTGCCTTGCTCTGCCCCTCCACCACTGGGCCCAAGGCACGGTGATGGCCACAAAGGCCCCCTTCCCTCCACTCCACTGCAAGGGCCTCAAGGGCGTGCAGACCAGAGTCCTCATCGCTGGGAAGGAGAGGGTAAGCCCTCTCCCGACCTGTCGGATCTGGGTAATCAGAGTCATGCAGATGACCAGCTTTCTGGCTGGTTCCAGGCCCCTCTTCACAGGTCTTGGCACCTACTCTAGTGTCTAAGAAACGGGCATGGTGGGCTCCCAACAAAATGCTTCAGCTGGGGGAGCACCCAAGACTGCTTGGCGGGGGCCCAGGCACTCAGGGCAGGCAGGGCTGGAGCAGTGTTCTAGAAGCTCCGCTGGGCGGCAGGGCTTTGGGAAAGGGCTGGGCGGGAGAAGAGGGTGGCGGAGGCAGGGTGCGGCAGCCTGGGGTGGCTGCCAGGTCACTGTTTTACCACAGGCACTGTGCACGGTGGCGGATGTCGCGTGTCCTCTGGGGAGCTACCAGCACCACCTGAGCTAAGCCATCACTCAGCAGGTTTAAGAAATGAGGAACCCAACTAATCAGCCGGTTAACAGTAGTCAAGAACTTCCGCTGCATTTCTATGAAATACTTTCCTGCCATTTCTCCCAAAACAGAGTGAAAAACCATAAAAAGTATTTCTAAGATTTCAGAGTGCCTAAGTTGCTTATTTGCTTCCCTGATTCCAGACTCATTTTGGGGGACTGTGCCTTCCAGCTGATGGGGACGTGATGAGCCATCGTTTCCCATGTTCTCAGAAGGGACACACGGAGGATGAAGGACAGCCAGCTCAGGATCCCCCAGGAGGGTGGCTGGGGGCAAATAAGGAGGCAGCTGTCCGGGTCGACAGAGTCCAGACCAATTTCATTAGAATCTCCCTTCTCAGACGCAGCTCCACATTAGTGAGTTCTCCCGTAGGTAAAAAGCAAGCAGAACTGCAACTCTGGGAGGGGGGCAGCAACCTTGCTCTTTGACCTGAGAGTTTTGAAGGGGAAGACATCACGCAGGACACAGCTGACAAGGCCAGCCTCTAATAACCCACACTGTGACCTGCAGTCTGGCTGGCCCCGGGGCGTGCACATCAGCTGCCCAGGCCAGAAGGAATCCGGAACACGAGAAAGCCAGATCGGAAAGATCCTGAAGATCTTGCATGGCATCTGTGAGCCTGGCCACACCATGCTCCAAAGTGATGCCTGGCCCAGACACATCAGTGCCTCCCCGGGGCCGGGCCAGGCACCTGGTTTTAGCAACTCCTAAAGGGTGGGCTTGACAGCAGCCGGGTGAAAAGCTGTGGGTCTCTCCAAATTCTTCCTGTGGCCTTCATTACCAAAATGAAGTACACCTCCTAAAGCTCCCAGTCTTCCTCTGCAAATATCTCTGTGAAGGTGGCAAGCCCTCCACAGCCACCAGAACCGGAGTACAGGCCATCTGGCCATCTGGCTCCCCACCGCCATTCCCCGAGATCACCCTCAGTGGCTCCACACTCCCCCCCACCACCACCCAGCCTTTAGCGTGTGGAAGAGTGGCCCCCTGAAATTCACATCTGCCTGCGATCTCTGGATTGGGTCTTTGCAGACGTCATTAAGATGAGGTCATACTGGAGTAGGGCAGACCCTCAGTCCAGTGACTGGTGTCCCTACAAGAGAGAACACAGAGACACAGGGGAGAGAAGGCCACGCGAGGACAGGGGCAGGGATCGGGGTGACACCATCTACAAGCCAAGGAACGCCAAGGGCTGCTGGCCACACCAGAAGCCGGGAGAGGCCTCTAAAAGGAACGAGCTTTGCCAACACCTGGTCAGGGCCTCTAGGCTCCGGGGCTGAGAGGTAGCCCCTTTCTGTTGTTTGAGCCTGCTTAAGGTCTGCTTGGTTTGGGCAGCCTCACGGACGCCTCTCCTCACACTGCTGGCACAGGGAAAACCAGGAGGGCTCCACGGAGGCGGCGGGGGAGGGGGGGGTGGAGCAGGTCACAAAGCCGCAACCACCCGGGACAGACCGGAGCCTTAAAAATACGTTAAGACCCTCTTTGTATCACATCGTGTTCATCAGAGAAGGGAAACCATTTTCCTGTCAGAATCCAGCAGTGCGGGGGCCGGGGGGGCGGGGCCCAGAGAAAAGAGGGCTATTTCTCCCCCTGAGCAAGTCACTGTGGCAACAACAGGTGTGCCTGCCTCTGGTGGCACCAGGTACACGTGCGGCGGCGGCCTCACATGCTCTCGGCTGCACTGCAGAGGCTCACGACCGGGCAGGAGGGCCCCCTTGACACAGTGAGGCCCCACACCCCGGGGCGGCAGGGCACTAACTGGGCTGCTTTTCCGATGGGAATGCTGGATGTGGGCAAATCACACATACGACCTTGGCCAGGTCTTTCCCGGACACATATGCACGCACCCACACGCCCCCGCGCACACCCCCCAGATCTGGAGGAGGCTGCCACAAGCTGGAGAGCACCAGCCTGGAGCCGGATTTCAGGTCCGAACCCCGACTCCTCCATCTCCTGCACTGTGACTCAGGGCAGGTTCCCCAACCTCTCTGTGCTCCATTTCCTCTGTCCCAAAACAGAGACGATCGCCCGACCATGGGCCCTTGCAGGACGGTGGGTGGGGAGGAGTTACTGCATCAAAAGCCCGGAGGGCAGAGCTGAGAATCAGCCTGTCGTGCCCCAGCGCCCCACTTCCCCAGCCGGCGTCCGGCTTAGGGGTGAGCCCAGACCTTGAACAAGCAGAACGGCCGACTCAGGCCCATTGGGTCAAGAGCAGCCCCTCGTCCCCCCACACCGCAGCGGCTCGCCGGCACAGCGCCCCCTTGGCCACCAGGCAGCGGGGCCGTGTGTACCGTGGGCTCCGGAGCAGGCCTGCTTCAGCATGGGCTTGTCCATCTTCTTGGCGTAGAAGGCGGCGTACCACACACGCAGCTCGGCGCCCGGGGGGATGTCCCTTGAGGTGGTGAAGTACACGTCGTTGCCGTGCTGGTAGGCCGTCAGGTTCTGGTGCTCGGGCCCCACTGCCGGCCGCACCAGCATCATCCAGTTGCAGTCGTCCTCGTTGGAGGTGTCGAAGCACACGGGATGCCCATCCTTCTGGAACACCTGGGGGTGGGCAGGGCCGCCAAGCGGCCAGGGAAGGAGCTTGTTAGCCACCCATCCGCAGGTCAGTGCGTGGGGGGAGGGGCGGGGGGCAACCAGTCCAGACAGGGCCAGGTCAGGCTCCACACAGAGCCCGTTTCAGGGCTCACAGGGCACCTGAGTTCTCTGCACGGCCCAGGTGGGAACTGAGACAACTGAGGTCTACTGGTCCAGGTACAGAGGCTGGATTCTCAGGCTCTAATCGGTTCCAAGTGGGCATAATGACACCTGGTCCAGGTATCAACGGGACACCTGAGTGCTCCCCCTGCTCAGGTGCCATCCGGACACCTGAACGCCGTGCACGGCCCAGCTGGGAATGAGGATGCCTAAGTTCTACCGGGGCTCTGCGTGGGCACCGGGACACCTGCGCGCCGCCCTGCTCTCACAGGTGTGTCCACTAACTCTGGTCAGTCCCTGCGCCCTGGCCCCTAACACCGCCGGATGGATGGCAACAGGGAAGAAACGTTGATATTCTGAAGTTCAAAGTCACCACACGAGTAGAGGAGGGTCTGGCCCTCTTTTCTGATGCCAACGCTGCTTCCCTGCTCTCCCCTCTCCGAGCTTTTCCCGTAGGGCTCCCCACTGCTAAGGTGCTAGAGGCCCCCTCTGAGGATGGGGCCCTTGGAGGCGGAGGGGGCCTCCGGTGAGGCCGTGCTGAAAACTCCGTATCTGACACAGACCTGGAGAACTGAGTCACTGAAGGAAACCAAAACGGGCACAGAGGACTTTTCAAAGGGGCCTCGGCCTGACCACGTGCCCACAGCAACTGTGTGCATCCAAGCGCCCCAGGTTCCGCGAAGGATGGCAGCCAATGGCCTTCGTGGGGCGTGGCCTCTGGCTTCTTTATTCCTTCACACAAAACAGGCTTTCTTTCTTTCATTTTTTGTTGGCAAACAAATCAAATACTTTTCCTTCCTTCCCATTTTGCTGAAATCTGCCTTGTAAGCTCAACTTTTCCAAGAACTGCCAAACCCCGAGGCTACCCATCTCAGGCCTGTCCTGAACACGCGGGTATCTGCTAGGCCTCTAGGGAAAGCTCACTCTGTGGGTCACTGCAGCAAGACCAGCACCGCTCACGTTACAGACGTTTCTGGAGGCGCATCTGGACTGGGCGCATGCTGGGGGTGGGCACAGAACCTGAGTCCCCGGCCCCATGGCGCATCCACACGCCTTCCTTCGAGAACTCAAAGCCTTCCCTGCAACTGACATCCATTCTATTTTGCTCCATTTCACATAAAAGCTGTCTTTTCTCAGTCTGATGTGCCGCTCAACTTTGCACCCGTGTCTCATCACTGCCTAAACGAAACCCCTTCCTTTTGAAAGAGCTCTGCCAAGTCCCAGTCGCTCACTCAGGCGTGAGCGTGCCCGCGCTGACACGGCCCCACGACGCGCAGAAGGCAGTGCCCGGAGGCTGCACGCCAGTCCAGGGCGTGAGAGAAGTGAGGGCAGCCTGGTGGGTCTGCTCTTGCACGTGTTCTCAACACCCTCTCTTCAGGGGTTGGCAAAGTTGAAAAGTGAAAAATACTGGCTCTACTTTGATGCTTTTGTGACATAAAAACAAACTAAAATAAAAGGAGAACCACTGTCGTGGAAGGAAGTGGAACTAGGATCTTTGAAGCCGCAGAAGACACCGATCTATCAGTGGGACGCACAGCTCTCCTCGCACAGGGCTGGGGGCAGGTCGCACCTGGCCCCTCCCCAAGCTGGCCCTGGCCCGTACCTTCAGTGGGAACGCAGATTCCTTCTCCCATTTGGCCACTCTCCTCGACTCAAACGGACCAAACTGTGTTCTCTTGACGAGCTGGGTCACAGCAAACACTCCTTCGGCTCCGTCTTCCAGTCGCCTGATCTCCAGGTTGGAAGGGAGAGATGATCTAGAAATGGAACAGGAGGCCCTCAGCCCCCAAGCACCGCTGGCTGAGGACGGCCACCACACCGGGAACAGACGGGTGGAGGGCCCACAAGCTCGCTCGCGCTGAAATACCATCCTTGGGGGTGAGAAAGAGCTTCCTACTGAGGACAGAGGGGTGACGGCCCAGCCGCCAGTACACACCCAGCTCCTTAACGGCCTGAGCCATGGGAGACCAGCCCCAGGGCCCTAGTGCAACTCACCCAGAGCCCATGCAGAGGCAGGGGCCGTTTACCAGAGGATGTGTTTGACATCCGCACCCAGGAGACATCACAGGTGTGGGCTGCAATGGGCCAGGGGAGAGGAATAGGACCGAGCTCTCATCCCCAGAGCCGCGCAGCCCACAGAGAGGAATGGGACCGAGCTCTCATCCCCAGAGCCGCGCAGCCCACAGAGAGGCGGGGGAGCTCCTCCATGATGAGGTGCTGCATGCCAAGCACCATGAGAAAGGGAAAAGTGCCACGGCATTCCCAGGAACAGAAAAGGCTTTCCAACTAGGCTGAATGGGCCAATTCTGTTGAGGATGCTTTTACCTAAACTCTGAGAGTGTCGAGGACGGGGCGCTGAAAGAGGAAGGCCCGTGGGCTGGAACCCCAGCACGAGCCAAGGCTTGGGCAGGCCTGACCCACATCCACGAGCAGGTGGGACAGCAGGGAGCCTGGAGCGCAGCCCCCTCCCAGGGCCGAGCAGAAGGCCGGGCTAAGGAGGAGGAATCTAATCACAGAGGGTTCCCGCCACGGGACTGATAGCTGCCACTGGCGTTTCGTGGGCAACAGGTTAACCAGTGAAGGTTTTGGGGGAGAGCTGACGAGATCTCTACTTCAGGCAAAGACAGTAATCTGTTTTGAGAAGGTGAGTCACTGGAAAACCAGTTGGGAAGCTTCTAGAAAGAGCACCAAAATAACAGCGCCTCCATGTGGCAGGTACTGTGTATAACACAATACGGATCACACCTCTGCAGGGGGAACAGGACGGAAAACAGAATGCCTTGTCTCAGTTCAAACAGCCCCCACGTGGCTGACCCAGACTGTGGATAGACTGTCCCTCAGAGCCCTGGCTCCGGCCCCCCAGGTGCCATGGCCCCCCAGGTGCCCGGAACGAGAATGGCAGAGCCACTGAATCTCATTAGATCTGCTGGTGTTTCTCCAGGAGCTGTGACCTGCCCTCACTGCCCCGGGTCCCACGCAGCCCACAGCGGGCGTCCGTTAGACAGCAGGCTTAGGTTCAGACCACGGGGAAAACGGAATGAGCAGACCTGCAGCCTCGGCCCATCGGCTCTTCCACGGCTGCCATGTTTGGCCCCTGGGGACGCTGAACTAGAACAAGACATTCACTCTGAACACTTCCAAATATGTCCTGGCTCATCCTGGTGGCAGGCTGCTCCGTTCACCATGGGATGGAAATCACAGGTGTCCTCCGCAACCTGAGGACAGTCATGCTCCAAGTCCTGCCTTCTCTTTTTGCAGTTTCCTCCTGTGATATCACGATTTATAAGAAATATGCGTTTGGTCATTCCGATGACCAGATATGTTTCTCAGACTTAAGTGCTTCATCCACAGTTCCCAAAAACACTTCTAAGCCATAATGAAGGTGACTTTTAGACCCCACCAGCCACATGGGTAGAGGGCTGGAACTTCTAGTCACTGCCCCCGCCCCCACCATCGGGGCGGGAGAGGGGCTGGAGGTTGGGTCAGCCAATGCAATGACTCAGGCAGTCATGCCTACATAATGAAGGCTCCAGAAAACCCAAAAGGACTGGGTAGGGAGCTCCTAGGCTGGTGAACATGTGGAGATACGGGGTCTTCATCTGGGTGTTCAGTCATATCATTTATCACATCCTTTAATAAACTGGTTAAAGTAAGTGTTTCCTACAGTTCTGTGACAGCCTGGGGCTTGCAGCTGGCATCTGGAATGGGGGTGAGGGGCGTTCTTGTAGGACTGGGCCCTGATCCTGTGGAGTCCAATGCCGTCTCTGGGTAGACAGGGTCAGAGCTGAATCCTGCTGGTGTCTGAGTCGTGTGCGGAGAACCCCATGTTGGAATTGGGTCCAGGGACCCTAAAAGGCCTCCCCTTTCTGCAGATGTAGGGTCCACATTCAGACAGCCCCGTTTGACAGGAAGGACTAAAGCCAGCTCAAGGTAGCCACTCACCGTGCCCTGCTTAACACAAAGGAGTCTTTGACCATGACCACGGGGCCCAGCTCAGGACATTCGGAGTCATGGTACTGGCTGCAATCCTCACACCCTGCAAAAGAAACGAAAGCATCAGAGAGAACAGAGTGCTGGGAGGGGCCCCCCAGGACATCGCAGGCTCCATGCCCGATGGGGGTGACCCACGGTGCTCCCAACAAATACGAAAATGGTGCAAACACAGGATGTGGCCCCCAAGGAAAAGCCCTCTCTCTGTGGCACATTTCAAAGTATGTAGTGACTCTACGCTGACAAAGAACAAGATCTTCCCGAGGAATGAGAATAAATGAGAACTCACCTATTTAACCTGTTTGCTATAAATCTAACATATCATAAGTCTCTTTGTAAACCCCTGGCTTACTTTTTTGAATCTAGTGCCACCCCCTGCAAAGTGGCCTTTGCCCAGCATTCTGAGAAAGGTGATCCTTTTAAAACCACACCCCTGCAGGGCATTTTTCATGCAATAAACGTGTTTCTTAAAGCAAGCAAAGTCATTTCAACTTCAAAAGAAGCAGCTTTTCTGTCATATAAAAACAAAACGTGGATGTGGCTTTGCTGGGACAGTAAAAGCCCGCCCGTGCTCCAGGACAAGCCAGGGGCTACTTACAGATGAACATGATCTCCTCACTCCCGTCCTCAGCCATTTCTGACACCTGTCAGGAAACAAGGGCATGTTGTTAATAACGAGCTTTTTGCCGAAGCAATATTTATTTATTTATTCACTTATTTTTAAAAGAATTGGATTTTCTTTTTTTTTAAGGTTTTATTTATTTGAGAGAGAGAGAGAATGAGAAAGAGAGAGATCAGGAGCAGGGGGTAGGGGAGAGGGAGAAGCAGACTCCCCACTGAGCTGGGAGCCCAACACGGGACTCGATCCCAGGACCCTGAGATCATGACCCGAGCCAAAGGCAGACGCTTAATGACTGAGCCACCCAGGCGCCCTTGCCAAGCAATTTTTAAAGACAAGTCCTGCTAAAGGTTCCTCGATCCCGTGCGGGGACCTTACCTGGAGGTCTTAAAGGCACCAAGCAGTGGGGTCCCCTTTATTGTGATGAGCCTGGGGGCTTTGAGTTGTTTTCTCACCTAAAATAATGTTTTTTTTTTATTAAAAGCAATTGATTTGAATGTTCTCTAGATTAGAAAGTCTTTATGAACTAGACTCATTTTTTATATTAGCCAAAGGTTTCCATTTGTAAAACAAATATATCACCATTTTCCAAAGCCGGTTTCACACTGTCACCTCTGGTTCTCTTTCCTCTGTCACTGGACTGTGAACTCCTCAAGGACACTCATGTCTAGTACGATCTCTGTCTGCCTTCAGCCGCTACCCTAGGCCTGACACCCAGTGCACACCCATGTCTCCTGGGGACCAGAGAGAGCATCATGGAGGAGAGCGCTCCTGCTCACCACATAAAACTCTATCAGAGCAGTCACTTCTGTTTTCTGTTGATCCTGTGAGGTTAGAACCCCCCACTCATTTGAGGGATGATCTGGACATGTTAATTCTGGGGCCTAGATTCTTTGACCTATAACATGGAAATAAAGATGCTCACCTAATTGAAAGACCTGTACTCTGAAAACTAGAAAACACTGATGAAAGAAACTGAAGAGGACACAAACAAATGGAAAGACATCCCATGCTCATGGATTGGAAGAACAAATATTGTTAAGGTGTCCATACTACTCAAAGCAATCTACATATTTAATGCAATCCCTATTAAAGTACCACCAGCATTTTTCAGAGAATTAGAACAAACAATCCTAAAATTTGTATGGAACCACAAAACACCCCAAATAGCCAAAGCAATCTTGAAAAAGAAAAACTAAACTGGAGGTATCATGATCCGAGATTTCAAGATATACTACAAAGCTGTAATCATCAGAACAGTATGGGACTGGCACAAAAACAGATGCATAGATCAATGGAACAGAACGGAGAACCCAGAAATAAATCCACAATTACACAGTCAACTAATCTTCAACAAAGGAGGCAAGAATATGCAAGAGGAAAAAGACAAATAATGTTGCGAATACTGGTCAGCTACATGCAAAAGAATGAAACTGAACCACTTTCTTACACCAAACACAAAAATAAACTCAAAATGGATTAAAGGTCTAAATGGGGGACCAGAAACCATAAAAACCCTGGAAGAGAGCACATGCAGTACTTTCTCTGACATCAGCCGTAGCAACATTTTCTAGATAGGTCTCCTAAAGCAAAGGAAATAAGAGCAAAAATGAACTATTGGGACTACATCAAAACGAGAAGCTTCTGCACAGGGAAAGAAACAGTCAACAAAACAAAAAGGCAACCTACAGAATGGGAGAAGATATTTGCAAATGACATATCCAATAAAGGGTTATTATTCAAAAGAACTGATACAACTCAACATCCAAAAAACCAAATAATCTAATTTAAAAATGGACAAAAGACATGAACAGACATTTCTCTAAAGAGGACATCCAGATGGCCAACAAACACATGTGAAGATGTTCTTCATCACTCATCATCATCCAGGAAATCACCTCCCACCAGTCAGAAGGGCTAAAATCAGTAACACAAGAAACAACAAGTGTTGGTGAGGATGTGGAGAAAGGGCTGACCCTCTTACACTGCTGGTGGGAATGCAAACTGGTGCAGCCACTCTGGAAAACAGCATGGAGGGTCCTCAAAAAGTTAAAAACAGAGCTACCATATGATTCAGTAATTCCACTACTGGGTATTTACCCAAAGAATACAAAAACATTAACTGAAAGGAATACATACACTCCAATGTTTACAGCAGCATTATCTACAATAGCCAAGATACTAGAACAGTCCAAGTGTCCATCAACTGATGAATGGATACTGTTGTCTCAAAATCCCCTTAGCGCTCAGATGGTCCCTCCACACGGGGAAGTCCAGTCTCCGGACATTTGCGGCATGTAAGAAATTCCAGGACGACGGATTATACATAGTGTTTTAGGGAAAATCACCCAGAAAGACCATAAGCGTGAGATTTGGCCATTTTAACCCCCATCCTGGGAAAAGTTACCTTACGCCAGTGATTCTCCAAGAGTGGTCCGTGGACCAACACCAGCAGCCCCTGAGAATTTCTCAGGAATGCAAATTCTCAGGCCCCTCCTCAGACCTGCTGAAGCCGACTCTCTGGGATGGGTCCTCGCACCCCGCCCTCACAGACCCCCAGGTCATTCTGCTGCACCCCGCCTCTGAGCGCCGCTGCCCTCCCTCCCATCTGCCTAGCACCACTGCAACAAGAACCAACGAGCCACGGCTGGGGTCACGGGGAGACCACACTAACAGCATCAGGAAACCAAACTTATCAAGAACGCCAGTTGGGCTCAGACCAGGCATGTCAGCTGCAGGGCACTGGGGGTGGGGGCGATCCCAGACAAATGTTCCCCATGGTGCCGAGCTCCCAGGCAGGGCCCAGGGATACCAGCTGTGAAAATCAGCCTTGAAAAAGAAGACTTCCATGAGGACGCCGCTGGTGGTGAAGGGACAGGCCCAAGGTCAATGGAAACCGAGAGACAGACCCACACAAACAGGCTCAGTGGGTTTTTGGTGGGTGCATAAAAGCTACTCATGAAGGAAGGACAGACAGCCTTCTCAGCAAGTGGTGTTGGGGCAAGTGGATGGGGGGGTAATGAGCCTTGATGTCACGTCTCATACAAAAATTAACTCGTCACGATCCTAGACTTAAAACATAAAATAGTAACATTTTTTAGAAAAATATAGAAGAAAATCATTGAGATCTAGGGTAGGCAGTTTTTAGACTTCTCACCAAAAGAGTCGTCTATAAACAGAAAACTACTTAGACTTTATCATAATTTAAAATTTTGCTCTACAAAAGACACAGGAGGGTAGACGACCAGCTACAGACCGGGAGGCATCTTCACAAACCACACATCCAAACCTCGAACGTGCCAAGAACTCTCAAAGCTCACCAGTAAAACACAAATGATCCAATCAGTAAATGGGCAAAAGACACAAAATACATTTCAGCAAGGAAAACACATAAATGACAAGCACAGGAAATGGTGGCCGCCCCCATCGACCGCCAGAGAGACACATTCAACAGGTCACTGAGAGGTCAGGGTGCTCCTGTCGGAGCGGCGCAGGATAAGGGAACCTGGGCACCCACGGGTGGCGGGTGGGAGTGGAGACCAGCCCGCGGTGTCTCATGAAACCAACATGCACCTGGCCTGTGACCCCACCATTGCGCTCGTGGGCACTTACCCCAGAGAAATAAAAACTTCCATCCACACAAAAACCTGCACATGACTGTTCACAGCAGCTTTATTCACAACAGCCCAGACTGGAAACAGGCCCCGTGGCCCCCCACGGATGACCCCGGTCTGTGGTCCACCCACACCTGCAAGACTTGTCCGCAATGAAAAGGAGTGAGTCACTGATACACATCAGGCTCTGGGGGACCCTCCAGAATGGTGCCACGAACGCCAATCCCAAAGGTCACATATTGTCTGATCCCATTTATATAACTCCCTGAAATGACGAAATATAGAGATGGGGACTAGAGTCGTGGCTGGTGCAGGTTCGAGAAGGACGGCGGGTGAGCCTGTAAGGAGGCGGCAGGAGGGCCCCGTGGGGGTGGGGTGCTCCGCACCTGCACTGTGTCACCGACACCATCCTGGACGGGACCCCACGCTGGAGTCCGGCACGGTGTCGCCGATGGGGATCTGGATAGAGGGCACGTGGGATCGCTCTGCCGTCTCTCTTACAGCTGCATGGGAATCCACAGCTATCTCAAAATTAAAAGTTCAATTAAGAAAAGATATGGAGGGAAAATCTACAGATTTGAAGTGACATTTTTTTTTAAGATTTTATTTATTTGAAAGAGAGAAGAGAGCACAAGCAGGGAGAGTGGCAGGCAGAGGGAGAGGGAGAAGCAGGCTCCCCGCTGAGCAGGGAGCCCGACGCGGGGCTCGATCCCAGGACCCTGGGACCATGACCGAAGAGTTGGACGCTGAGCCGACTGAGCCACCCAGGCGCCCCACTGAAGTGACTTCCAGCACAGCGCGGGTGTGGCCCAGATCCTGATGGAAACAGCATGTGAGACTCTCACTGGACAGCTGGAAAGCCGAACTCCGGTATTCGAGCACATTAAAGAGCTAGCATTAGATGTTTCAGGTGCGCTGGGGATCGCGGTTCCTGGTTAGGATCCTTCTGCAGAGATGCGGACTGAAACACAAACTCAGTCCTGGGGCCAGGGTTTGCTTCCATGCACTACCGGCGGGGACTCCCAGACAGGGACACACGGGGCAGATCAGCCAGGTGATGGGTCCATGGGGGCTGGCGCCTGCTGACCTGCCAACTGTTTTGTGTGCTCAAAGTCTTCATAATAAATTATCTGTAAATGGTGCCAACACACACTCGTCCCGTGTCGCTTCTTCCATTCACTCTTGCGTGCTTCCACCAAGCTGGCTTTGGACAGGGTGTCTTTTTCTTCACCTCACCTGATTGGTTGCCCGGGACATAGCCAACCACTGTCCTCTCTTGGCCCCCCCCCCCCCCCCCCCCCCCCACTCTCCCGTGGGGGATTCCTCCTCCACCCCACCCCAGTCAGGGCTCTCCTGGGGCACAGCCCCACCCCTTCTCACGGCTCCTCTGCAGGACCCCTCCCCAGGCAGC